TAAATTTCCCGTAGCAATCGTGTATGCCCCGGACCATGGCATTAGAGCGTACCTACAACAACTACTTGTAACAACAGTAAGTGCTCGTACACCTACCTAAATAAAAATAAAAAAAAAGCGAAAGTACGAGCATTAAACAATCCTAAGGAGAGGACATGCACCTGCGTGGCGAGTCTAAATGTACGTTATTGTCAAAGATTACGCTGTGCTCGGAAAAAAAAAAAAAAAAAACAACAACAACAACGTAATGAGTAAAGTGTCTACATACGGGGAGGCCGAAATATCTCTCGTAACTTTTACTTATGCTTACTTACGAGCAACCGCAAATTTACCGGTAAAAAAATCGAGTCGAGACCCCCTACAGCCACAAATCGGCGAAGCAAACGAAAAGAAACAAACCAACCAACCACGTGATTATTAAATTTACATAATGTATACCGATCCTATTATAAAATCCATACCTGCTCAACGTTTCCGATTCCATGGCAATCGGGAGATTCGCCGTCCGACCGCAGGTATATATACTAATAAACAAAGTCAGCCGGCGGCGAGAATATGCAATAACCTGCACACACACACGTATACAATCGGAGATCGAGAATTGCGAGAGGAGAGCAGTTTCGCAATGTATGCAAAGCCAGCTCGAATTTTCTCGATTTAACGAGGTACCTTCTCCCTTTCGCTCGAACGTGTATATAATATACTTATAGCGTCACGAGCGACTTAATGTAATATTTGAATTGATTATCGGTATACCTTATACGCGTATGATTAGGCTTCATATCTATATGGGGCCCTATACATATTGTTCTTGACTCGGAGATGGAGATTGGTGTTACATATGGGCCTATGCTATATACACAACACATATGTTATCTGGTCGAAACGATACGTTACTCAAAGTAGGTATCCGACTGGTGCTCGTTTAAGTACATAATAAGGACGATATGAGAAAGTATACGAGTCCCATACATACCGATACATACCGATCTGAGAGAAAATAAAGAGTAACATGTAGCGCACAACATTTGTACTTCCATTACAAACAGGAAGAAGAAGAAGATGCGAGGTAAAAAATGTATACTTCATTAAAATAGTTCAATTTGCGAGGGATAAAAACCGTACGGCCAACCGTGACGATGGTCCCAGGACTTGGTAGACAAAGCGAGCGCAATCATTCCAGTCGTTAAACGTGACGACAACAGTTTCGGGGCCAATTTCGCTGATATGTCACAGTGTATGTACATACAACCACACGTAGGAAGATGGAGAAAAAAAAAAAAAAATCGAAAGGCTGCACGCAAGAGAGCTCGAGCTCGCGAGTAGTTCTCGCAGCGAGAAAAGAAAGCGCGAGCAGCTCTCCGATCCGATACGCTTACATAGCGAAGTACACGCTCAGCGCTCGCTTTTCTCCTCGGGACTTTCCCTCGAATGCATGCACGTGTAGATACGTACACGTGACAACGGCCCTAAGCGATCCTTGCCCTGAAAAACCGGGGGATCGAAAGATCGGCCCCAGGAGTCGCCGATCGGTAAGAAAAACGATTCGCTCGTCACGCCGGATTATTTTTCACGCTGGGATCATATGCACTTTGTATGCTTGTGCTCGCTACCGATCGTATGGAAAATAGTGCGAGGGAGGCCCGCGTAACGTGTACCTATAGTGTGTAACACACGCATACACGAACGCGTCCACAATCGGCTAGACGCGATATCTCTCGCTATCGTGAGAACGAGAGCAATAAGCGCCGCGGCTCTTTCACTCCTCCTACGAATACCTGTGTACTCTAATGCCTTTTAATAACACCTGTGCCGCCGTTCAGTGTGATATATATATATACCCATGTGCATTTTGCTCTACGAGATTCGATCGCTAATTTCCTATATGTTGGGTGCTCTCTACCCTGGGTTTGCCTTTTTTTATACTTCGTCTCTCGCTTTTTTGGCTGATGTGTACATAAGGCACGGCGGTTTTTGTGTTAAAACTGCGTCTGTTATGAAAAAAAAAAAAAGAAAATATGCTAGATTATTTGTCACTTTAGTACAAGGTTCCGCGTCTTGCGCCCACCCTGGATAATCACGCTTTTTTTAATGTTTTGATTTCAAAATCGTTGTACGTGTGAGTAAATACCATATGTAACCCTTAAGGACATCCACTTGCGTTCAAAAATTACTTTCGCTAGAGTCCACAAATCCGGTCCAGCGAGGTCGTTTTTATAATGAAACACGCGGACAATATAAACTACGCTATTTTTTTTTTCTTTTGTTTTTTTTGTTTTTTTTTTTTTTTTTTTTTTTTTGTTGCAAGCGCAAATCGTATATGTATATTTTATTCCAAGTGGTGGTAAACGTACGACCAGATAATACTCGCTTTCGATTCTTTGCGAGAAATCGAATAACACGTTTTTTGTCGTGCAAACGCGTTCTATAACGTGGGCACGTCAGTTTTTTTACCCCATTATACCATTACACCGTCAAAGGTATATACATTTTGCCACCCACCTGTCGTAAAAACTACATCGGATTTAACTGGGTAATTTTTTCCATTGAACATTTAATCAAGAAAGTTTTCACAAAAATTACTACAAAAACTGGATGTATTAGTGGCACGCGTAATGACAAAAATTGTCTCCGGTCCGATTTTATTTTTTGTTCAAGGATATATTTCCACGAATCACTAGTAAATTGCTAGAACGGGGGGGAGGGAAAATCCAGCGACACCGGTAAAAGTTTGACGAGCAATCGCGGAAAAACGCAACCGTCGTAAATATTTTACGCTTGGAGTAATCCGTGGGTCGTTGCTGCAGTCAATTGTCGTTCCAAAGAAAAACATTGTATCCCTCCTTGGTCTGTAAGCAAACGAGGAAAAAAAAAAAAAAAATGCCATCCTGAAACTTTTTCGGACTCAAGTTGCATCCTAGAACCAACGGAAGGAGGGTGGGTGGGTGTTATTAAAAAAAATAACGAATTAAAAAAACCAAATACATAGACATAGCAGTGGTAGAGGCCATACATGTAAATGTAGTGTATTTACGAGGTCAATAACACTTGGACTCGGACACATGGAGCAGCGTACGTTTGATGAAGAAAATCCTATTGAGCGCTATCAAACGGAATCTTTCTCGGATAGTTGCGAAACGCTCCCTCGGTTACTTACTTACCTAAGTACGCGATCACATATGGGTACAAGTAGGTAAATTGTCCCAAGCCAACTGAAAATAAGACGATGAGTTGCGCACATACCTCTCATGATACTTATACACATTGCGTCTTTGTACGCACATATGCTTGCAGGAAAGAATGCAAAGTAATTGCTATCACTACTCATACGGAGAAAAGATAGCTTCAAGAGTTGACCGGTAGTCCAGAGAGGGAGAATGTACCGACACATGTCTGTACCGGTATAGGTATACAATACACAACAGGTGCATAGTACTGTATAGGAATATTTTATATGTATGCGTACGTACATTGTACGTAGGTACACGTTTTGCGTTTCGCAAGTGCGTAAGTATACTTACTAATAACGCGTCTCTCGCGCGTGCACATAATATACAACATTACGTATGGTATAGCCCAGTCTGTCTTGCGCAACAAGGACAACAGAGAGACAAGAGAGAGGGGGGGGCCTGCTTTTGCCGTGTACAACGTGTACGCGTATACGGGTACCTGTTACAGCTAGAGAGATGGGAACAATGGATTGGGCAAACAGCCGAGCGTGGTACCCTTATTTTTTTTTTTTTTTTTTCCTTTTCTTTCTCATTTCGTCTTTTGGGAAGAAATTTTTCTCTTTTTTTTCCTTCTCAATTTTCATTCAAGCAGGCACTCGCTGTACATTATCATGCGAGAACAAACAGGAAGAGTCGTCGTCGATTTCTCTCCGTATCAGGTGCAGCGCGCGATGCGCGAAAACACCTACACCTTCCTATACACCTATACTCATATATGTATATTAGCTACTTATAGTATATAATTATAATCCTCTCTTTGTAGCAGCCGATATTACATACAAGAAAGTGCATCGCGTGCGTGGGCCTTTTTTTGTTCGCCAAGTGCTATGCGGCATTCAAGAGCAGCCTACTTTCGCAGATGGTACCGATCGCAAACAGGGGCCAAAGATGTTGAATGAAAAATATCGAAAAATCGTACAAATCTGACATAACTGTCGCAGGACTTGTCTCCCGGCACGTCACTCGCTATATACCCACCTGTCCTGAAAACGACGGACGTATGTATAGACACTTTTTTTCATTTCAAGAATCATCAATTGTTTTACCGTTACTTTCGAGAACGCACGCAATATTGTACATGTCGTGTCCCATGTAGATTTTCTCCTCCGTCCACAACTGGTAATGATCATCAATACCGAGAACTTTTCGGACGTGCGTGGCTCTTTGATCTCAAAATACCTACTGTAAAAGGAAGCAAACATCATTTGCTCATTTGCGGCAGTGATCGGCAAAGATCGGCAGATAGTTGTAAAGAGCAAACACGGGGCTCGCGGGTGGGTATTTTTTTCTCACCTAATGCACCATATTGCCGATCGTTTACGGTCGCGCTTTACGTTTGAGTGTATAGGGCCGTTACAGACGGTGAGGTTGTAAATATAAGTCTAGGTGTATATATACGCACTAATGTAAGGAAAGGTGGAGGAGGAGATCGACCTCGATCGGTATCTCGTATACACATAGCGAGAGGCTCGCGACCACACCTACTTTCTAGATATGCATATGGTGCTCATTTATGCACTGCATGTATACATATCGGTATGTGTAGACATGTACCTTCCAGGAGGAGGAATGGTATACGTACCTACTCCGGGTGTGTGGTGCGTATAATGAAAAATCGTGGCAAATACGGTAAGTTGGTCCGATCGTTTGTGAACTCGGTTTCCGTATCAGTTCCGCCGTGACTGTACATATGACCATTCGTGGCTCTTTTTCCCATAAAATAGTGTTATACAGGTACATTACCGTACCGTTCCTCTTCCCTTGACTTACCCCTTGGGCAAACGCATCCATACTTGTATGTGGCTATATACACGCACAGCCATATTTTTCCCCTTTATTTCCGTCAAGCTTTCAATCAGGATTACCTTACGTAAAAGCGTACCTCACTCCACACTTGTCTACCAGCTTCTCGATACCGCAAATCCATTAACCTTTCTAAGTTCACACGCACGCGCGAACGCGAGGAGAAAGAGCAGCAGGCCCCAAATCTTTCCGGGCTCCATATATATATATATATATAATATCTCTCGCTATCGTNATATATATATATATATATATATATATATATATATATATATATATATATATATATATATATATATATATATATATATATATATATATATATATATATATATACCCCAGTGTGTGCAGCAAGTATATATGTATGTATATGATATACTGACAGCCCCGGAGTATATAAATGACTTCTTCTCGGGTACTTATATCACATGGGACGCAACAAACGCAGGTTTATACGTATATACATATAGATGTGTACTCTCGCAGCACCGCGCGATCTCTTCGGTGTCGTCTACTATTTCCAGGCCGTCCGCGTATCCTACGTGTGTGGATATAATGCAGGGAAAAGACCGTTGGAAAGGCGCGATCGGTAACGCAATACGCCACGAAGGTATACCCGTCGAAAGCCGAGCGCATTGGAGTGTCTCTCGTCGAGGGGAATCGGGAAAACTAGTTCATCCTCCGGTAGACCAGATTGACTCGTGGTTTAAAATAATGCATTTTAAGTACTACATGGATACTATATGTTAAGGGCAATATCGGTGCAACTGCAAAACCACGTGTGTACCAGCAGGTCTCGGTGTTCGTGGCAGCGGTGTATATACGTTGTCGATTTGTACAGCGTGTGTATATAGTATCCTCCGCCGTCCGAGAGAAGAGAGGCCGAAAGACACGGAGAAACCGTTATTTGAGCTTTGACGCGCACGTGCGGCGACTACATTATGCGTATACAACTACAGCATGTATGTATACACTTATTGTGGATAACCAAGTGACCCAGAGAGACGAACGTAGATATATATAGGTATAGGCAGGTACTTAAAAAGAGGACGATCGATAAGTATGGGATTATTATTATGGTCAATCGTCCTTTTGTTTTTCCGATCTGTAATGATTTGGATTATAAAGTGACCATTATTTTCCATTACAAAACTTTTACGATGTAGATAGAGCACACAAAAAAAGTCGTGTAATCAAAGTATCATTGATTTTCTGCTTGGGGAAAAAAAAAAAAAAATACATATACTTTGCCGCGATTAAATTTACAGAAACGGTATAGCAGCGGCGAACCTAAAACCACTACGGTTCATTTTACACCGAGAACTCGCTCTCTCTCTCAAGCCCGTCCGTATTATCTAGTCCAGCTGCCCTCGGGTTTATGTACGGGCATCACCATTACGTACACATACACACACAAGTATATACAGTTACACAGAAACAGACGATTCGTGAATTACGCGGCATTATAATATACCGTTACCAGCATCTCTGGCGGCTACTTATACGTGCTGTTTCTTCTCTTTTTTTTCTCTCCTATGATTTTTTTTTTTTTTTTTTTTTTCAAGTAATGTAACACTGGAAGTTTCCGAAAGAATAAGAGTTTCAGATATACATACGGAGTCGGGGGAAGAAACAATTGTTTTTTCCGCTTTGGCGACTGATGGAGAGAAAGCGCGCTCATCGGGTAAATCGAAAAATCGGCAGGTACATCGACGGCACGGAACAACTAACGAAAACCGCAGTGAAGGGAAACACCTGAACTTTAAGTCGGTCCCAAACGTCTACCAATAAGTGATTAAAATAAGGGTAAAAAATTGGACAAAAAGCACGTCATCATTGTGCCTTTTTTTTTTTTTTGTCAAGGCATTGATATCAAACCACACCTACCATACGAGGAGTCTGTCTCTACAATGTATAATATTACAGGTCGTTCTCTGCCTTCACGGTATATTTTTGTACAGGAGGAGAGATTACACGATTACATTGCACATTGTGCGTTCACCTGTTCGCCGGTGAAAGCTGCAGTGCACGGGCGTTTTGTGTGTTGGATGTCACGCGAGCTTGCACCATTATTCGGTTAACGAAAGTGAAATTGTCACTATCATATAGCGTATAGCACCTTTTAACAACCGAACGCGTGAAAGTGCCGGTGTATAAGTATATACGTGTATAGCCTCGCGTTACGCGCGCACCAAGTATATTATTTCACGCGCACGCGACGCGGTCCATTGATCACTCGGAAAAGAGCCCCGGAGTACATGTGAGAAAATCTCGTGCTCGTAAGGATGAGCGTGAAAAATTCTACCTCACATTTATATATGAGAAAATAAACCTTAGAATTGTTTCTTCTTGTATTAATTCATATACGGAGACTTAAGCGGCATATTAAATGCGTGCCGCGACTTGCGTCACATGTGCCACACACGCACATTAACCGTGTCTAGACGGAGTGACTCTCTGTTTCGTTTTACTATGGTGTAAGTTTACGGTACACCTGTACGTGTGAAAATAAGGAAAAAAAAAAAAAAAAGAAACCGATTCTATACTGTGAGAGTCACTCGTATAATTTCCGTTTCCGTGGAAGTTATAATAAATTATACCATCAGCTTTGCTTGTACGAAAGCTTTTTTCTTTCTTCCATACCAGGAAAAATTATCACAGATCAGAGGGTCAACTGCAGGTGTGACGCTCATTAAATAAAACTACAAAGCTACATCTTTTTTTTCGAAAGAACCAACGTTATTTAATTACCACCGATGCGTGTGCAGTACATCGCTTGGGGGTGCAAAAAATCGCTGAGCGTCTCATCGGTAGATATTTCAGAGCCGCGGCTGCTGTATCGCCTCGGATTATAGTCTTCGATTGCTACTTGTACGTTTTATGCGCATCAGTGTAAAGTGTACGCATATTTATATGATTTAAGGGGAGAAAAAAAAATCACGGCATCAATATTATTTATTAGATGTGGCTTGTGGTATTATTCAAAATAAAACGCTTTCCAGATAGGTGAATTGAAAATGATCGGCCAAACGATAGGGGAAAAAAAAAAAGTTTAAAAATCGACGAAAGTCTTTTGAAAAAAGTACACATGTGTGTCACGTCAACTTTATTTTTGTGACCCGGATTTTCCACTTACATATACATACATGTATATAGCCGCACGCTCACGCGCGCCAATGATACACGAGAAAAAAAAGCGAAAACCAGTTTCAAAGGCGCGTCTCGAAAAATTGTCCTCCGCGTTTCCGGACGACCTACTAGTGTATATGTAACGGAAGATTATCGCGCGCACATAGACTTGCTTCGTGCGCAACGAGTGTGATGAGAGTAAATGCTCTTAAAAAGCTCGCCAAACTCCGTGGTACCTCAAGAACTGTGGTCGGTATTTGTGCACCCAAGCACTCTCTTCTCGAGAGATTCGGAGACCATATATAATGTACCTCCGAATATACGAGTATATGAGTATCCACGCGAGCGAGCGATCAACAGAGCTAAGGAATCCGAACAATGCCCGCCCACGTGGAATTCCGTCCGAAGCGAAATAATAAATGCAAGGCGTGTTATATACACGACAGTAGAAACTGCAACAATATCTGCTCCCACTTGTCCTCCAAGTATATGTATATAGCCGTACGCGAGAGGAACAGTCCATCAATCCTATATAGCTCTGTTGTATAGCTCAATTGTAATGTGCAGGTATATATATTGATAATTACCACGAAAGTGCAATCATCAATTGCAGTATATTTACACCCCGATTGATCATACATTTTTATAATACCTGTATACGTATATTAAGTACGATGACGAACGAACGAATTTGTCTCTGTTGCAGATGTGAAATGCGGGCATCCAGCGGTGCCGATGAACGCGAGGGTCTCGCTGTCGGACGAGTCGCTCAAGGTCGGCACGACGGCCACATACTCCTGCGACGTCGGCTACGAGCTGTTTGGGTGAGTGGCATACGTATTATACCTGTTTTTACACTAATTACCATAGAAATAAGGAAAAAAAGAAGAAGAAGAACAAAAAGATCGTACACAACAATCAACATACCGGCACGCGTTTATGGGAAAACTTCAACGGAGCAATAGGGAATATTCTTCTTGTTACCTCTAAGTGAGCCTCCATCGAGATGGGAAATAGTCTCACGTATAGCCCTATGTGCATACGTGCAAGTACAGCTCGGAGGAATCGTTTTCTCTTACTTTGCGTCTTCCGCCGAGCTCTTGCGGGCGCCCTTCTTTTGTTGTACACCGATGCACTCGAGATCGGCCGAGATATACTTTAACGCTTCGTTATACGGAGTATAGATAAAATATACGTTGCAATGCACTCCAACATCCATATACGTATTACCTAGACTGAAAAGCCAAGTTACAAAGTGAGGCCTGCTTTTAATCGTCTGTATACATGCCTTACCGATCTTTCTATGAATTTTGCTGCGAGCTGTCGTTGCTCATGGATTGTGATACGCATCACAACACTTTCGGTCGTTTGAATGATTTTGCGATTAATTCACAATAAATATAGAATATATATCCGACCCGCGCCTAGTCCCCGATTCCCACTTATATATACACCACCCCACGGTTCGTCACAAAGAAAGCCATGCAATTGCTCGCGCTTTCTCTCCACCGCGTTTCCCTAGTAAGGGGCGGGTGGGGGATCTCGTGTGCTCACCCGGCTTCCAATTTGCCCATCTCACTGACATGTATATGGAACAGAAAGAGTGTCCTCGTCGTCGAGCCGCACAGCAGGAAATCGAACCTAAAGAGGCGTTGGCGTTGCAATCGCGCGATCGTAAGTACCACCTATTGAACGCGATAAATCGCATCGAATCGTGCAATTTTTTAATTTTTTTCGCAAGCTGTGGCTGCTTCAATATTTTTACCCAAGAGGCACACGCGTCAAATATGCCAGCGCTGTTTTTTTTTTTTTTTTTTTGTTTTTCGTCTTTCGTAATTATTATTAGGCTACGCGATAAAAAATTATGCTGATGAATGACCGATCGTCGCAAGGCGCGCGAAATTTCGTCAATTATTCCGCGCTTGTAACGAGGACGTGAGTTAAATTTTTCATTGCTTGCATTATTATATGGATTCGCGACTGCCTTTCATGAATACACATCGCGCTTGTGCAGCAATTGTCGACCGTATGTACTATAATCATAAAAACCAATGATTATAATTGTTTAGTGGTCAAAGTAATCACGAGCGCAATGAAGGATTAACTCGCTGGATGCACCTAATCTCCCGACCGATTTCTCGTTTCAGCGGCAACGCCATGAGCTGCGGCAACAAAGGAAAGTGGCAGGGAGAGCTGCCGTTTTGCGGTGAGTACTACTTATAATATACACAATACAAAATATAAAGGAAGCGATGAACATAAGTACTTGTACAGTCTCAACCCAACAACACCCATACCGGATGTATATACACACATCTTTCTCTTTTCTTCGCATCCGTGTTTTATAACGTACTTATACACAAACACTGTATATAGTGAAAACCTTCGGACCCATCGCGAGAAGCTTATCACGGACGAAATATCGCGTGGTACACAAGTAAGTGAGTGCATCCCCGTACAAAAATGTTATGCAGACACGGACGGGCGGAAGTGTTATTTCGCAAGAAGTTTATACCGCGGTACAGACTTTAGCTATATTGTGTACTAGATACACACTTTGCCGTGGGTATATCCTGCCAATGTATGTACACAGAGGTATATCTATAAACGATGCCGACGAGATTTAGCGATCGATATATCGGTGGCGGGTGAATTTATGTGACATTTGGCAAGATTGATGCTCGTAACTGACTGTCTCGCGGGATCCAAAGGGTAATGGATGGATGTTGCACGCGGCATCCTCTTTTCGGCGATTGATCATACGTGTGTCGTGTCCCCACAGGCCAATATGCTATTCGAAACGGATTTACCCCTTACCGCGGGCTTGGGTTTTAATGAGAACGAAAGGCCGAAAAGCCAAAAATATTCCTACCTACTGCGCCGTTTATCATCTTTTTTTTCCATTTTATTTGAAAACTATAGTCGGTCTGTGTTTGGGGGCACTGTGTAAAACCCCCAAGTGAGGGATCGGAGACAATGGTTCGTTAATCGAATGTATAATATATTATATATATATATGGACACACGTGTGAGAAGAGAGAAAAAAAACAACTAAACTGACTCATTTCTTAAAACGAAAGACTCGTTCGACACACGTGGGAAGCGCCGAGTCGAGGCGCCGTGTCTTTTCACCAGTCATTCAGTCTCACCAAGGGTGTGATTTATCTTATTTTACAATATCCGATAGGTATCTCTGAAAGTTTGATAAATGCTCGTATTTGACGGTGACAGTGAGAACTTTTTTTCTTTTTTTTACCAATACATATTAAAAATAGACCAGACGCGCGACGACGCTACTAAAACACACCCGGCTACCAAAGAGCATATAGAAGAACGAAGATCCGAGGAATGAAAAAAAAAAAAAAAAAAAAAAAGTCTCCCTCGATCTTCTCAACCTGTCGCAAAACACGCACCGATACCCTTTCGATTCATCGCTGCTCCCACGCGTTGTAATAAAGAAAGCCATGTACACATTATAACTTGCACATAAGCATCGTCACGCCGTAGTCTCCGAAAATTTCGACTTTGGGCGATGTACGTACACTACAGTCCTTATTCGTTATTAATGGCTTATGCAGGTATATGTACACCTATATGATGTGTACTTGTTTTACGAGAGCCGAGCGATGGGAAAAGCTTTCGCCGTTCACACGGGCAGGGCACCTTCGCCATTAGTGCCACACCGAGTCCAAACCTCTCTCTCTCTGCTCCATCATCGGTTTGTATCTGTACAGTGCACCAATATAACTGCACGTGAAATGGTATCAAAATAAATATACATGTATGTGAAGGTACGGAGGCTCGAGCGAGGGCGGCTGGGTGTAATCTATACGGTACTCATGGACGCTCGTTTACGTAAGGCGTTTACGCGAGGGAATAACCGATCTCTGAGAGTCTATATCGGTATGTATGTATACCGATACGTGCATGCAACTTTTCTTAGGTTCGCGATGGTGAGGTGTGCAAAACGTATATGCATATATACGTGTGACGTACGTGTACAGATGCTTCTCCGTGGGTTTTCCGGCTTCCTCGCCCCACTTCGACGAATGTATTCCCGGTGCCGTTATGGATGTGATTTTTTTTTTTTTCCTTTGCTCCTCCATAAGGAGGAAATTATGCCTCGGGTGTCGAACAATCGTGAGAGCGCCCTGCGGTGCAAACGATTTTTCAGTTGTGGCTGTGTATTTGCGAGTGATCGTGTGTGGCTTCCGCAGCTACACATAGCTGATTCGGTGGTTTTCAACCAGAACACTTTTCATGCCCACACTTATAGATACATACGTAAACCAAATTTGGTGAATTTTACGCTCGCAATTCAAAATGTATACTATATAGAGTATACCGATATGGTCGTTGGTTCCCGGTTTCGGGATGGGATCGATAAAACGACCATTATCCTAAACTGCGTTTAGAAAGAAATATCTGCGGTTCGCAAAGAAGAAAAATATACGTAGAAATTCGGGGAACAACGAGAACTTGCACTGTACTTGCCATTTGCAACGTAGTATCTCTCGTGGCTGGAACAATTGAACCGACTGAATATCAGTATCCGAGCACTACAACGGGACGAATTATCTGATCACAGGTAGAAGAATTTTAAGAAAAATTCCAAATTCTCCGAGTCGATACTTTGATTTTTCGCGCAAACTTCGTCCCTCTCAAACCTATACTTTGGAATCAAACGAACGCCCACACACAGCCCTTTGACAGACACCATATTTTACAGTCGTTTGAATAAAAAATACTGAAAAGAAAAAAAAAAAATCTTTATTTTTGTTTAATACCACAGGAGCGAACGTCGGCTTCCGTAAGCCAGCCAACCAGTCGACGACGGTGCGCGGCGGGGACGCCAATCACGGGAACGACGGGGACCTCAGCACCGAGCACGACGGCAAGCACTGCACCGAGACCCAAAGTGAGCCCAGTCCCTGGTGGCGGGTCGACCTGCTCAAACCCTACTCGGTCAAGGTCGTCCGAGTTACGACCAGAGGCTGCTGCGGTAAGATATAAATACAGTATCCCTGCACCTGTCGCCGATATACATTGTTTATGTATACAATGTTTCAATGCTATATTGTACGATAATTCCATGTTACCGTGATGCACGTACCTATAACACATTTTACACATGTGTAGCCGTGCAGCCTTGCATCATTGTATTTTGCATCTACGCGGATATAATGGGTACAGGCTGCACGTGACGTAAATCTGGCTGGCCCAAAGATGGTGTAGCCCGATCTCGCGAGAGTAAGAATCACATGTTTTAAACAATACGTGTACTTACTCAAATTTTCCATCCAACGGATGCAGATATGGCCCTGGAAAATACAATTTTCATATTAATCGCCATATATATTGTAAAATCATTGCAAATGTACGTGGTTACGGAAAAATTAATTTCCCTTTGTAACTTGTGCACATAAATATATCCGTACGAATAGTATACACGCAATGTACGTATATATACTCCGTGGTGAGGAATCCGCCGGAGAAAGAAAATATTCTTATAACTGACCTCCACTGAGAGTATTCACAATACAAAGTTATATTATCTATGGTAAAAGCTATACGGTGTCCATACGTATAAATATACATGTAACTGCAGTACAGGTATGTCGGTGACGGCTCGCGTTTAGAATGTGAGTGGTTAATATGGGTAAATGTGTATGTAACTGACCGTACGGCCATTATAATAAATACTGCGCAGGTCACCAACCTCTCCAGGACATCGAGATCCGCGTGGGCAACAGCAGCGCTGAACTACAGAGAAATCCACTTTGCGCTTGGTTCCCGGGTACTATTGGTAAGGCTCCATCCATACGATACACCCACACCTAGTAGATGCATTTTCACGGAGTATCGTCCTCGCGAATGTAAAATAAACCCCTTTTTTTTCCTTTTTTTTTTTTTTTTTTTCTTCCAACGAACAGAGGAAGGCGTGACGAAAACGTTCACCTGCGCCCGAGCCCTGGTCGGGCAGTACGTGTTCCTGCAGCTGGTGGGCGTCGAGGGTAGCCTCAGTCTCTGCGAGGTCGAGGTTTTCGCGACAGACGGTGAGTTCCTTGTCCCACGTATACTTTTGTTACAATAATAATACACCTGTAATCGTTGCAATAATAAAACTGACGGCAAATTTACAACGGAGTGAGCAAGCAGAATAATAGTCAAGTTCGAGGGAACGTATAAAAAAAAAAAAAAAAAAAAAAAAAAGAGAAAGGAGAGAAAGGCATCGCTGCGTTGCGCAAGCAATCATTGGCACTGGCGCGCCATGCTCGCGCGAATGTAATACAATATACGTGTGTGTGTTTGTGCCACAGGCCAAGGTGCCACCTATATCGTTTGGATTATATTCTCATATATATACGCACAACTTTTGATTTTTCCTCTACATATGTTGTAGCCATTATATATAAAAAAGAAAAAAAAGAAAAAAAAAGTACTTACGCGGTGCTTTGTTGGATTGTTGTTGCAGAATTCGCGGTCGACAGGTGCGCCCACGCTGGAACGCCGGCCGATGCCGATCTGGCGGCTTTCAACTCGACGTGCTACGAGTTCGTCATCAATCGGGGCGATACGTTCCAACAGGCGCGAAACTACTGTCAGGCCCGCGCTGGCGACCTGGTGCACGGATTCAAGGTGCGTACCCCCGATCGACTCCCCCTGAATACACCCTTGCCTTGGTGTAATGTTGTTTCGTGACATGTCGTTGCGAGCACGTGCAGGTATTTTTGAAATGGAATGTGTGTCGTCACAACGAGGATGACCCGACAAAAAGTACATCGGTGACAGCTCGTTCATATTGGAACTATGTCCCCGCGTGGATTGCTTACACATAATACGTATCAATTTGTGTGCTGCATGTATCCCCGATGTATCTATAATGAATAGTTTCGTCGGGAGGCCCTCAAAGTTGCGCAAGGAGAAAGAAGCCGATTTCATAATATCCGCGCTGGTCCGGTAACTTTTGTCGTTTCCTTTTTTTTTTTTTTTTTTTTTTTTTTGAATGTATAGGCATCCAACTGCGGGTATCGTATATAGGTACAATTAACGCAGTTGTTGCGTTGTGAAATATATAGCACACGAGTGCCGAACGAATCAAGCGTATCGGTAACCGCATATCGTGCTTATAAGATGGAATTTCCTGCAAGATAATAGCACTAATACGTGCAATCACAGTTTATCCCCACATTAACGCGATAATGGCCATTATGCGCAAAAAAGGCATTTCCTCGTTCGAAAGAAAGTAAATGATAATAGCCCACTCGCGCACATCGACGATTTCTATCGATATCCATGTTGTAATCGACGATACGGTATTGTTGTAAAATGTTATTTTATCGCGATTTAAAAACAATTATCGGTAACTCGGTATGAAATCCAAATTATATCGTTGACCTATACAGCTTTTCTCTTATATATCTTATACATAGAGTACACACAAGTCAAAAAAAAAAAAAAAAAAAAAAAATTCTATTAAGCCTTTTCCTGACTGCAAGATTGAAAGAAGTTTGCGCGACCTGTCGTCTCTTATCATGGCATAATAAATTGTCTTACACATTTTCCCACAAAGGGCGTAGCGTCGACTTTTATCCTGAACAACCTGGAGAGGCGTAAGAGTAAACTCAAGACCCAATTGGTGTGGATCGGCGCGCTAAAGGAGCCCTCGATAACCGTAAGGACTTGGAAATGGGTCGATGGTACGTATACGCATGCATATACATGAAATTACTCAGCAGTTAGCCGAGTATATCCATCCAACCATGTACACGTACGGCGATTGATATTACCGAAACGGAGTTCTTGTACGGGACCGTGTACTTTCATTATGAGCACCGTAAACGCAATGGATCATTGCTACGGCGCATCTGACAATTGCATGTTTAGCGAGCGCATCGATTACGAAAATCTACGCGCAAACCACACAATTCTACACATCTACATCTACGTTGGTACACCCGCACTTGCAAATAACCCAAGGAGCTTTTGTGTTTTGGTCACTTGGAACATTTTAATTTATCTCCGTACGAATACAACACCAACGCGATCTATCACAAGTAGGTACTATATACCTACCTGGTAGGTTTTTACCGAGACATTTTTCATTCGTCCGTCGTATAATGCATCTATACCCTCAAAACGCGCATTCCAATGCGTCATATCCAGTTCTAACTCACGTATTTCTCGTTACTTTCATCTACCACAGAAATAAATCCTTACGTTCAATTTATCCCTCGTGTCCCCTGTATGATACACGAGGTATGTAAAGTATCGCAAACCCACGACATCTTAAATATCTCTGTTCAGCCAACGGCATTCAAGTATGATATTTCTACCGCGAAACTTGTGAGTAAAAAAAAAAAAAAAAAAAAACATCCCGAAATTCATTTGCACGATAACTCAAAGCCTCGTTACCCATACTCCGTCATTCGGCAAATATTTTAACGACCGACTAGATTAATGCGCGAAAAAGCTCCATTTCCATTCAGGTATATTCTCTCGAACCGTACACAGCTTACTGGACGCATAAACGCCGCATCCGCGCGTAAAATCAGCAAGGCGCTCGTAAGTATATAATTACAAAGTACAGCGGTGGTGAGAACGGGGCCGTTGATATGATGCACATACGTACAAGTATATATATGTAACTACATATGGTATGTATACATAAAAACGAAGAATGGCGCGCGGATTGAGCAATCCCGTGCATTATAACGAGACACGGATCCCTTATATATTATGTGTATACCTACCTCATCGATCTTGAATTCCTCTCCGAGCGCAATACTTCATTATCCTTAGCGGCAAGCTCGCGATCGCGAGGGTTTCTTCCCGAGATAATATCATCATCGTCGTATAGCTATAGCATTCATCGAGTTTACCTGTAAAACTAAACAAAAAATACGAGTACACATACCATGGAACATCGCGATCTCGGCCACGGAATGGTAGATAAGGAGCGTGTTGCGCGTGTCGGATGTTTTCCATTTCTAGGCAAGGAGTATTGTAATATGTGTAGGTGTTATATTGAAATGATTTGAAATTTGTGGGTCCCCCAGGCGAGGTGATTCAGAAGCCACACTGGGGCAAGGAGCAGCCGAACAATTACAACGGCGAGCAAAACTGCGTCGTGCTGGACGGCGGCAGATCGTGGCTGTGGAACGACGTTGGGTGCAACCTCGACTATCTACACTGGATCTGCCAGAGCAGTGAGTTTGTGTTGTGTATAGTTACATGCATGTGGTTCTCCTCGGACGCGATTACGTAAACTATACTATTATGCGTGTACCTTTGCAATGATGATGAAGCTCCTTTTTATTTCACTCCTGTAATGATCGGTACGGAGACCAACGTAACATGATGACAATGTATCGAGGGTTTTTATCAAAACTCGGTAGCACCACCACCACACATTTACCTTTTTGCTTTTGGTGTTGAGAAAACAATCGATAAAGTCTTGAATTGCATACATGGATCAAACACGAGTACTTATAAAACGCTATAAACAGATTTACGATCGATTTTCCAAAATATATGAGAGCTTAAATTTCATAGCGGTACCTTGGTACAACTACATGCAGCTGGCTCGCGTTAAATTTAAATATTTATCTTATCTCTTGTAACCCTCTGCAAATATTTCTATACATCAGAGAGCGCGTAAAACTGCAGGTACCCCTTATCGATAAAATTTTTTCGAAAATCGGTACATGACGATTTCCAAACAGAGCCATCGACATGCGGGAGCCCAGAGAAGCTGGAAAACACGACGATAGTAAGCTCGAAGCAGAGGGTCGGCTCTGTCATCGAGTACGCCTGCCCGAGTGGTCACATGCTGCTCGGCGAGCGAGAGCGCACCTGCGAGCCCAGCGGCTTTTGGAGCGGCTCCCCGCCATCCTGCAAATGTACGTAAACTCTGATTTTTTTTTTTTCTTTTCCTCCCTCGATCGTACCCACAACATAAACATCAAAATGATGGCGCGTTGCAGTCGTGGATTGCGGGTCGCTCGAGGAGCCGGAAAACGGGACGATCGATCTATCGGAGGGCCGGACGACTTACGGCGCGGTCGCCGAGTACTCCTGCAAGGAGAACTACACCCTCGTCGGGGACTCGAAGCGCAGGTGCGGCGATGGTGGCCTCTGGAGCGGACACAAGCCTCAGTGCCTCGGTGAGTACATACAGCGGGAGTATCGCAATCTTTCGATTCCCTTGCATACAATTATCACGATTTTCGGATGTCAGGATCATTGAAAATGGCAATTTTATTTTGTCATTAACTTGTAATAACTCTGGCTTAAGTGTAACAATGAAAAGAATAATAATAGTCACTCGAACGGTGCAATTTTGCGTGTTACGTACAATGAATGTTCCTTCGTCACGTAAGTACCAATATACGTATATAATAGCCACTAATAATGATGATTGTCGTTGAAACTGTTTACAGTCGACTGGTGTCCGGATCCACCGGAGGTGAACGGCGGCGTCGTCTCGTTCGGCGGCAAACGCGCCGGATCTAAGGCCAGCTATACCTGCCAGAACGGCTTTGTTCTGTTTGGCGACAGTGTGAGTTATACGATTTTTTTTTTTTTTTTTTTTTCTTCCTAGCATAATTTATCCTCCGGTACATGGACGATAATCGGTAATTTTTTTTTCGCAATGTACGGGAGTGTATGAGCATTAATTGAGTTGGGCTCACGTGGAAACGGAGATAAAAAGTAACATAGCCGTAAAGTGCTCGGATAACGAGGCGAGATACAAGCAAGTGAAAGAGTACACAGTATACATTTGTTTCCATCGCCGAACGCGTGTACGCGCGTAGTTGTCGGAGGTCACGTTGTCCCGGAGGTTATACACGCGCGCGCGAGTGAAAGGCAGCTATTAAGCTACAGCTTTTAACCAACGAGAGAGAAGAAAAAAAACAACTTAAGAAAATTTGTCCTTTGAAAAAAAAAAAAAAAAAAAAAAAAAGGTCCTGACGTGCGACATCGGAGGCCAATGGTCGGGCAAGGTACCGCAGTGCCGGTACGTCGACTGCGGTGCCCCGGCTCAGGTGTCCCACGGCAGCGTGAGGCTCGTCAACGGCACCACGACCGTGGCCAGTCTGATCGAATACAGCTGCGACGAGGACTTTTGGGTGGACGGCGAGGCCAAACAGGAGTGCACCAGGGAGGGCAAGTGGAGCCACAAGACACCCCAGTGCGAGCGTAAGCCCTTTTTGCTTTGTCTCTCCTTCTTTTTTTTTTACACCTTTTCGAGCCATCGCTCGAGCTCACCGACACATCGTTGTATCGTCCAGTGATAACGTGCTTGGAGCCCGAGGTGCCCAACGGCAGTTACGTGGTCGGCTACGATCTTTACGTGCACAGCACTATCGAGTACCACTGCGAGGACGGTTACCTGCTGCACGGGGAGGCCAAGCACACTTGCGACAAGAACGGAGAGTGGACCGGAGAACTGCCATGCTGCGAGTGTACGACCATTTTTTTCCTTCTATGCCTATATTGTTACATCAACAGTCGTTGCTGCTTGACGCGAGCTTTTTGCGTTGCATCCTTTCAGTCGTCGATTGCGGCAAGGTGGTGCCAGTTCCGAACGGCTCGGTCGACTACGTCAACGGGACGACCTTCCTGGGGAGCGAGATAACGTACAGCTGCGTGAAAAACTACAAGCTCGTCGGCACGCCGAGACGCTACTGCTTGGACAACGGCTTCTGGAGCGACGCCACGCCAAAGTGCGAAGGTATGGTGCCATTTTTTTTTCTTTTTTTCTTTTTTTCTTTTTTTCTTCTACTACCGATTTTTTCCAACCAATGTAAAACGCACCCAAAGAGATCCGCTGTCCCGAGCCGGTGCTGGCCAAGCACGGAATCCTGTCGTTGACGGGTAACGACAGGATGTACGGGCGCACCCTCATAAGAACGGGCACAGCAGAGAACTCAAACACCGGGGCTACCTCGTACAAAATCGGCGCCCTCGCCAAGTACAGGTGCGAACGGGGCTACAAGGTCGTCGGCGATTCCCTATCGACTTGCGAGGACAACGGAAAGTGGAGCGGCGACGTGCCCCAGTGCGTCTGTGAGTATTTGCATGCTGTTTAAAATCATATTGGTGAAAGTCTGCAAGCGCAAATGAAAACCGATCGGCTCTCGATGTAAAGTGTGGTTCTTACCGGGACAACCGGGGACCGGGTTTTTATAAGGGATACATGTGCACTGGAACATATAATGTATTATCATCGTGGGTTGGTTATGGAACGATAACGATCGTCGAATGAAACAAGCTTCCGCGAACGCTTTCGAAAGCTAATCGCAATAATTAAGCCGTCCGCGTATGATCGAGTGGGGCCATTAGAATGGAGAGCTCTGTACGATGGGGGGGTGTCCCCACGGGATACCGGACCGGTTGTACGGACTCGGTGTATAATAATTGCATATGCGCTCCTCGATAACGAGTGTCCCGTTTGTCAACCGTAAAATTATCATACCGATCAACGCGATTTTTCGATCCGATGGGATTTTCCTTGGTCTGCTCTTATGGTTTTTTGGAGTCTGGGCTATGATCAATGATTCCTTTCACTTTGCGCGTGTTTACAGACGTCGACTGCGGTAAACCCGAGGATACCGAGCACGGCAAGTTTACGCTCACCTCGAACGTCACCTACTACGGGTCCGCCGTGCTTTACGAGTGCGACAACAACTACGAGCTCGACGGCTTTGCCAGGAGGTTGTGCCTTGACAACGCCACCTGGAGCAACGAGGTCCCCAGCTGCAAAGGTACTTTGTTGTTAATTTTCTTTGCCGACATTGAGTAAAATGCAAAACTTTTTCTTTACCCAGAGATTAAGTGCAAAGAGCCGGAAAAAATCGGCATGGCGAGCACGCAAGTCTCGACTCACAGTGTCGGGGGTGTGGCCCACTACAACTGTCCCAGGGGCTACATAATGGAGGGCAACGAGACGAGGGTCTGTTTGCAAAATGGATCCTGGAGCGGCAGGTCACCGTCCTGTTTTGCCGTCGATTGCAAGCATCCACCGTCGGTGGACAACGGAAGGGTTATCGTCGTTAACGGCACCACGACTTACGGAGGGGCCGCCGAGTACCACTGTTTGCCGCAATACGAGAGATCCGGTCTCTTTTTGAGGAAATGCCTCGACACCGGCTTATGGAGCGGCGAAGAACCCAAATGCGAAGGTACACCCACCACATGTTGTATATACAATATATATATATATATAAATTTTTTTTTTTTTTTTATTGGAAATCTTTCAACTGTTTGTCTCGCTGTATCTTCAGAGTCAACGAACGAGCTCGCCGAAGCCCAGGGAATCGGCACTAGCGTGGGCATCGGAGCTGGTGTGATCGTCGTCATACTGATCATCATCGGCCTGGTCTACCTTAGATTGTAATCCATAAAAATCAACGGTACTCGCTTCCCTTTTTTTTTCTCAACTAACGCAAAGCCCTTTTTTTTCTCTTCTCTCCAACCAGACGCAAAGCTACGCCGGTGAAGAACACCGAGAACGTTCAGGCAGCCGAGCGCAAGGAAGACCAGAACGCGGCGGTCATGTCCTACGCGACGCTCAACGACGGCTCACCCAACACGATGTACGAAAATGTTCCTGAGGATGGCCTCTACGATCACCCTTACAGCATGGCCGGCAGTACTTACGGGTAAGGCAACATGAGCCATTGCTGCACGATTATAATAAAAATCATTGAAAATGATGATTATGATGATGATGATGATGATGCGTCGTTGTGTACAGATATGGCACCGGACAGAGGAGGAATTACAACAGATCCGGGCACTACGAGGCGGAGCCGGTTGTCAGAAACGGCATAACCATCAACGGGGTGTCCGTCAGATAGTTGATGCAAGTCGATTAAAACACACGACGCAGTTATCGTGAAAACCATAGTCAAAGAGTTCCATTTTTTTTTTTTTTTTTTCCAACAGTTGTACATTTTACGAGATGATGATTAGATATGGCCTATTGGACAAATTGTTGAGTGCATAGAACTTCGGTGGTCCTCTCGAAGATACCATTTGAAAAATCATGAATGTATGAATTTGCCTCTTTTTTCTCTGTATCTATACACTGTACAATCTTATTATTTTTTTACTACCATGTCGAATGTGACAATACCGACCATATGCTTTTCACGTGCTTTATTGAAAGCTACAGACCAAGATGTAGAGTATTATTTCTTAGGGTTTCACTTTGTTTCGTAAAATAGAGCGTGGATACTTTATATTGATATACTTTAAGTTTTTGTTTTGTTGAATTTTTATTAAGATCGAAAGTAACTGGGCTGGAAATCGTGTTAATTTTCCGTCCCGTCGATTGACTATTTCTTACGGATAATTTTGCACGTAAGTATTTTTACGAAAAGATTTATCGTTAAGTGACTGTGTAAATAATTTTAAAAAATGAGTTTTATAAATATTTATAGATAGGTGTCGACGAGTCCTTGCTTTGTATACAAAATAGGAGAAAGCAATAATTTTTTTTTTTTTTTGTAGCCATGTGGCGCTTTGTAAATGTATTTCTTGTACATATAATATGTATTGGGTGTCGAATGACACTGAATGTGCTTAAGATAGATATTTGTATTAGTTTGTTGATAAATAAAAAAGCGAATCATGTAATGGATGTAATAAGTAAAGTTATATTTAAAATGTTGCTTATACTTTTTTTTTGTTTTTTGTTTTTTTTTCAAAGATCCTCTCTGCATTTCCTACACTGAAGTACTTAATCATTCGCTTAACGTAAAAAAAAAGTATTTCATTTTGATAACGATGTGTTTGGAAAACCCGTCATTTCAAAGTAACTAATATACATAGATAATAAATATTTAATATCCATGTGTCTGACGTATCGCTTTCCGAATACAATAATCGTTTAACGATAAATTCTAGATTATGATCGACGCGGAATTGGTTTTTTTTTTTAATCACTTGCACCTAATGACAATTTCTAATCAAACTCGTCAATTTTTCACTTTTAATTTTGTCAAAGGGGAGTCACGCGTCGATATATTAAGAAAAAATATAAATAGAGAGAGTAAATTAAATGTACATAGGTATTCATGTAAGCAATGGAGTAGGCGCGCGAGAGAAATCCTCCAAATATGGTCACGAATTGCGCTCACGGCCGTTAGCGAGTCATACATACGCTCGAGTACATAATATTATAATTTGTATGGAAAAAAAAAAATTACCAGTCATGATATTTTCGTTCGAGGAGCTGCAGTGCTACAATGAGAAATTATTTACTTATTCTGTCTATATCGTGTATACGTATAGTTTGTTTGTTTTGAAAACTTTGCTCACTATCGTTGCAAGTATTAAATTATTCTATAATTATTTAACCTGATATATTTCAATAGTATATTTTTTGAGGTTTTCATACATAAATCCTTGTCCGTTTTCTGTAAACAAGAAAATAGTTTTTCTATTTAAAAGATATAATACTCTCTCTGATTTATCTCACGCGACAAGTAATTCAGTACTCATAGGGGACATCAGTAATAAAGTCTAAAAAAGGTAAATAAAGTGGCTCCATGCAGTTCTGCTGGAACGTCGAACGTGGAGTGTAAATGGATAATGGAACTAAATGTGAATTACCACCACCAGATGGCAGGTGCGAGCAGTGTGAGCCGTGGGCCCCGTGGAGTGAGCTCCGATTACTCCGATGCGTCAGTTGTGTTCTGCTCCTCGTCGCGACATCATCATCTAGGTGTACACGTATACTGTCAACTCGAGCAGCTCTTCTTTCCAGCTCTTTTGACTTTTGCTGCCTGCGTAGTCTTGTTTACCATCGCCATCACTACAGAACAGTAGAAACAAAAAGAAAACGGTAAGTCGAGCTCTGAACAATCATGGTTTTTGCCAAGGACGAGAGTGCCACTGATTCACAGCAAAACTGGCTCTTTGACGTTGGTAGTCGACGTTTTCAGTAACAGCCATTGTTGGCTGTGTACAGCCGTTCTCCTGTTGTGTGTGTACGTATATGTGCATTACATACGTGCTAGATGCCACCAGGGCCGAGCCGAGGAGTCATCCTCTCTGGCCTCGATTTCAGAAGCTTATAAGTACCAACTCCATCGAAAGTCACTCTTTTCATCTTCTCTCTCTCTCTCTCTTTTTCTTTTTCACTCTCGTTTGGACGCGACTTCTCTCGATTTCGCACTGCGCCTTGCACTTCCTTTTTTGGTGACATATTTCAGACACATACCCTACACGTACGTATAGGTATATGTATAAAGCTCACTTCTTTTTAATTTGTTTACATTGCTATATTTAAAGATACAACACACACATCGAGCCCGTCGAGTAGTTGAAATTGGCTCAGCATTTGTTCGGCGTATCGTGAAACTTGAGCAACGTGTATGAGTCATTGACAGAAAATATTGAATGTTCGTCATTAAGATAATACACTTAATTAGATCACTTACAACATGGCTCGTCGATATGTGGATTTCGCGTCGATTATCACTATTACTCAGCTATTTTCTTGTGAGAACGTCTGTAGTTTGAATCCAAGGTGTTGGTCAGGATTCCCTCCCTTCTGTCATCAGTATCTACGTCATTACGTGCAGCTGCTGGGTACATTTTAATCTCTTTAAATTGTGCACACGGTATACCGTACTATCCCAGAAAAGCTGGGATATTTTAGACTTCAACTTAATAATGGGCAATTTCCCATTAGCCTTCCAAAAATAAACATGTGTGCAGTGTTACTGTGTGCCCCTTAGAGTTAGATCCAGTGCAATTAAAAGACCCAGTTTTAATATCTAAGGCACACTTAATGATGCCATGTCGCAACTCCAATTAATGCTTTATTATCAATTTTCAGATCCAAAATGTCGTCCAGAAAAACAGCAGGTCGTCGTGCTACTACCAAGAAGCGTGCTCAGCGCGCCACTTCCAATGTTTTTGCAATGTTCGACCAGGCACAAATTGCCGAATTCAAAGAAGCATTCAACATGATTGATCACAACCACGATGGTTTCATAGACAAAGAAGATCTTCACGATATGCTTGCTTCTTTGGGTAAAAATCCCACTGAGGATTATTTGGAAGCCATGATGAATGAAGCTCCAGGACCTATCAACTTTACCATGTTTCTGACACTTTTTGGAGAGAGATTGCAAGGCACTGATCCAGAGGATGTGATAAAAAATGCATTTGGTTGCTTTGATGAGGAAAACAATGGTGTTATTGGTGAAGAGCGTCTGAGAGAACTTCTTACGACTATGGGTGACAGGTTGGTCGTCATATTCAAATTTTGAGTAAATTTTCGCACATAATTGAAATTGACGAACAAATTTCCTTATACGATTCAATTTTCGATTTAGGTTCACCGATGACGATGTTGATGAAATGTACAGAGAAGCACCTATTAAGAACACAATGTTTGACTATCTTGAATTCACAAGAATCTTAAAGCATGGAGCCAAGGATAAAGATGAGCAATGAAATCACAAAACGCACATTGTATAGGGTCTGCTCTAAGTTTGTAAAGTCACTTGCAGTAAAAGAGTTGTAAAACCCTTTTTATCCATCCAAGATAGAAAAGGTTGGTCAAGTTGCATTACCCATTAACTAACAGTCAACAAATGTAAGCTTTTTTTATTTAAAGGCTACATATCATTTCTAAACCCATGCAGAAAAACCTTTTCCACTTGAGTAGTTTTTTCTGTAGTTCATTTTATTGCATTTTTACTTAAATACTACTTTACTCTCCTTTTTATTTTTAAAAAAAGAAAAAAAACGTATTCTTAAAGTGCCTATTAATTGTAAAACAAAACGAGTATGAAAATTATTGCGTTGATTGGTTTCAATTCCACTCTTGACAAGCATTTTGAAACTGCATTGGCGTTTGTAATATTAAATATTGTTGGCTACAGAACAGTATGTAAAATACGGATATTTCTACATTTACAATTTGTTTGTCGAAAAAAGGCGGCATTTGTATTTTAATACATATAATATATTATAAAGTGTAACATAAATTTGATATAATATAACTTTATTTACTTTTACCATATCAGAAATACCAATTAATTATTTCACCCCCAACGTCGACAAAGTAATTTAAGCTCAAAAAGATACTGAAAATACGAAAAATTTAATAGCTTAAGATTATAACAAAAACTGCGTCACCTTATAAGTGGATAAATGAAAGGTAATCTAGAGTAAGTAATATCTCGTTGGAGCTATGATATCCTAGAAATAGCTGCAAATGTTACTAATCTATCTTACGTATAAAATTTAAAAAATCAATCACAAGCATTTCTACAATGATAAAAATATATTGTACAACGAAAAAACGCTTATCCACGAAGGATCAAACGAGTCGATCGTAGACGCCGAACTTTACCAAAAAAAAAAAAAAAAAAAAAATGTAAAGGTATAACGTCAAAACGGCGACTCTAGACATTTTTTTCCATTCTTTAACATTTTTTGATACTTGCTAGAAAAAAAAAAAAAAAAAACTTCACTTTCGTGTAAAAGGGTCACCCCCTAGAAAATATTTCCCTCGAGCCATCGCGAGATACATGGAAAGGTCGAGCATGGCGCTTGTCCGGGGTCTGGTGCCCCCCCTCGCCCACCCTATAGTACGTCACCTCTGTAGACTTCTTCGCGAACGATACAAAGGATAATAAAAGAGTAAAAAGAGAAAGAGAGAGAGAGAGAGCCATGAGCGGAGCGGTGTGCCCTACCGAATGGAGGAGTCGGTCGTCGGTCGGGGGGGCCGTGCAGTATCGTTCTCGCTCGCTTCGAGCGCGAGTGCCTCCACTGCGCGTTTGCCTACCGCTCCTGCATAGTCGTATGAGATACCCTACAATAGATACATATTTGTTAAAGTATTTTTGCTTCGTTTCTTATTTGTTTTTTTTTTTTTTTTATTTTTTATTGTTGTACACAAACAGAGACGTTCAAGTGTGTACATTATCGTCGTACCGCGTCGTGGATGTATTTATAACGTAAGCTCGTCAGCACGTCTGTCAGTGGACAAGGTACAAAATGTATTTTTCCGCGTCGCCGCGATAAATAAACACGATCATCAATGGGGGGTGTATTGGTACAAGTGTGTTTGTGATATTCCCGCATATATACTACCTGTGCTGTGCACGACGACGAGTTCAACGCAAAATAAAAAAAAGGAATACTTTCCATCAGGAGTTGTATTTTTTAAACCTCTGTTGGTGATTAAACACCAGTGAAGCTGATCGCTCGCAATGTGTATACATTGTACGCAGTTAAATACAAGCCAGTATAGTTTGTTGACGTCCGGCTGAATTACACAAAATAAATAAGCATATATAAACACAACGCGCAGCTCATCAAGAGAGTCGGCTGCTCCGTACACTGCAGCGGCCTAAGGTATAGTATACATATAATCACCTATACCCTAATATTATTGCAAAAAGTGCTTAGTGTCCTTATCGTCGTTATACTTACGTATACGTGGAAAGTAAAAATGAAATTATAAAAGTCACTTACCCCGAACGCTTAGCTTTCACCCCTTTGAGGTTATCACGGTGTGGGTGGAGGTGTCGCAGGTGTCCCTCCCCCGAACACGAGGTGTCTGCTCTGCAAGCTCGAGAATCAAAAAAAAGAAAAAAAGACCATCCAGTCCGAACACTCGATACTTGATATACTATATTATAAATAGTATCTACTGTATGCGTGTAAGCGGTGCAAGCAACTTTTTTTATAACGATTCAGCTAAGTAGGTACACTCCGATGACGATGATGATAATAGACCCCGTCCACGGATGCTGGATTCAACGTAGACTCTCGCTCCAATTGCGTGGTACTTGCCCCATACACACTTGTAACATTTGGTATCGCTCTCTGGTAATGTATAATAGGTATCGCCTAAAAGGTGGAAGTGAAAGAGAAGAGTAGAGTGGGCGCGCTCGGAGCACCGCATCATCATCATCATCGTCATCATCATCATCATCAAGAGAGAGAGAGAGAAAGATGATGAGACCCGAGAGAGCAAGGAGGTATACATTCCTTCGGTGTATAGCTTCCGGGCCCAAATTGGGTTACGCTATTAGCCGACCTGGCAACAGCAGCAGCTAGTTCCCTATTAGAAAACATCCACTCGCTCGTATTCCGGAGCAAACACACGTATGTGCGTATATATACATGGGAGCGTGTAAAATATATAAATATACTCACGTATAAGAGTGCAGCTCGCCCGGAACAGGTCTAGGGGGTGAGAGCCCTTTCCATTCGTCGCTGGTGACTCTCTCTCTCTCTCGTATCTCTCTTTCTTTCCATCTCTGTCTATACATGTATACCGCTGTTGGCAGCGATCAGCTGTTTTGTAGCAGAGGACGCACATCATATATTATATACATAGGCTAGTTTTTTTTGGCTCCAGAGCCCCCGTAGCAAAACCCAGGTCTTACTTATATATATGCGTATACTCTTTTGTAGATGATTAAATTTGCTTACATTTTTCGTTGATTGTTATTTTCTCACACTGAATCATTGGATGCGTCCTCGTCTTATTAGATGGTCCGAGCCACAATGGCAGTACATACTCAGGGGAGGAGGAAGTGGTCTTTCGAAAAATGACGTTTACGAGGCAAGTTGAATGAAAATTTATTACGCTCGCGGCAATTATCAATTTCTGTATCTTAATCACGCCCAGCGTCCCGATCAAAAGCTCTTCAGTGGCATTGTGCGGCCAAACTTCCCTCGACTCTTTTTACCGATAAAAATTTGTAATTTACAAGCGTTGCGCGCACTCGGAGATAAAGAGAGTCTTGGAGAATTTTTTCAATGGCATGGTCACCTATAAACATAATATACATGTACGCGCTTGATTTAAATCGTGTTATTCGTGATTGTATTTTTTAGCATCGCCAACCGGTGTCGACTCGGTTATCGTATACGTGCGCGCGTTGCTGAAATTTTTAACGAGGACTCGAGACGACAATAATAATCGCCTGTACATTGTCTGTCGCAAACACCCGAAGGTACATTTTTGTACGAATATGTGTGTGTGTGTGTGTATTATAATCGGGCCTCGATTAACTATTCGAAAAACGCGTCGCGATAACTCAATAATATTTGTAATGGTTGATTATTCGTATCGCGCGTTGTAAGTGTCCCATTGTAATCTATGATTGAAGAAACGAATAATCGAGGATACAAATGATACGAAGAATTGCAGTAATAATGTACCATAGCTTGGAGAAAGAGGTGATAAAAGCGTGTATACCAAGTATTATATAAACCGCAAATAAACCATCGAGGATTAAGATTACTATACATCCACTAGCGCCTCGGTTTGTTTGGATGCGATTTACCTTCGAAAAAAAGGAAAGTTACGTCCGATACATCACGTATTTCCAACAATCGCACCATATAGGTGTGCATTGGTCGGATATGGTGGAGGCGTCTATAGCGAGTACACACGCTGCCATACTGTTATATATGTACGTCCACACACGTATGGCTGTTAAATAAAAAAAATAAAGTCCTTAATACTGCTGTCCGAATCTTATGCTGACGCGTCACAGCTTGCGGGACCCATTGTGTAAACTTTTCCCCGACTCGCGCACACGGAGGTACTTTTATACATCATCATCAAAGGCCCGGTGCGTCGCTTTCTCCCATATACCTATACCATCCGACAGATAGTGGTAATTCCGCGCCACGGAGGGAAGAGAGAAAGAGGAGGTTCTTGCATCGGTACACTTGATGATTGGGAGTGTACAACTAGAGCAACGAGAACCGGATAACGGGCTGATAAAAAATAGCGCGCTATCTGATGGCATTTACTTGTTTGTTAAAGGAGTTTGCGAAAAAAAGTAGTTGCGAGAGATAGCGTCTTAACCGTATATACTCTCCGTCGCGTTGCATCTCGATGGGAAGTTGGAGATTTTACCGTTTTTATTTACCTATAAAATAATATACACGAAATTCAAACTATGTATGTTTCAATAGCTCGATATTTACAAGTATGCATAGTAGTTTGACAATATACGTACGTATAAGTACTGCCTCGGGAATGTACGTAAAATAAAAGCGCCCTCGTGTCTTACCGTACTCGGTATGCATCTACTTACACGTGGGCCATTTGTTTCGTATTTCAAAAGTTGCACCTGTTCCCATAGCGAAAAACGCAAAGATATACTTACATCCACACCCGAAAGCTCCAAAAAAAAGGGGGGGGGTAAGTCCGCACCTCTGTATTTTCCCCGTCAGTCAAAAATCTCTTGCTCCCAAAAAGATACACGTGGGAACAACAACATCGCGTGTAATCTAATACACGTTCTCATCGTCGCGCGTATAGGCATGTGTGTAAAGTAAACCTCGAAAATCGTAAACGGCCGCGAGTTATTCGCGATCCCGAAAGTGTATATATATATATGCAAAAGGGTGGATGAGCTCGGTCGGTGAGTGAGTGAGTGTGTGGATATTAAGTATCGGGTATCAAACGACGGGCTCACCTTGAAAAGGAGAGACCGGCTAATCCTCTTTTTCCGTGCACCCCCTCGCCTGTTGTACACTTGTACACACATGTGACACCTATATATACTCGTAAGTATATATACTTGCTGCAACGTTGTTACACAGTGCGCGTGGAAAAATAAAGCGCGCAAAAGTGGTGGTGTGCGGATGAGGTAACGTGACACACACGCAACCTGCTTGTATACCCCCTGATGCCTGCACGCGCGTTGCCATCAAGTGTTATATACGCAATATCGGCCAGACCCGACTTTATAATGTTATATACAGTAGCGCTGCAGTGACGTCCGTGTACTTAACGAGGGTGAGCTGGACAAATGAAAAAAAAAAAAAAAAAAAAAGTTTTACTTTATCCCAAGCGACAGTATAATGACAATACACGGACATTGTATGTATACATTAGCGCGCGTGACGTGCAGATCCAACGCTCTGACTTTCCGGGCTTTATTATAAGATTCCAGGAATTTTCCACTTTGCCCGACTTATCATCGTAGCAACCCC